AATTGGTTTCTATGCAGAACTGCAACAGACTTTGCACTCTCCAATTTTAGTAAATCAACCCCTTTATCTCACATTCCCTCCCTATACCTCATAAAATGAGAAAAGAATGAACAGAACCAGATAGGAAGGATAGCACCTTGTTAAATAAATTATATTTTGACAAAATTAAAAAATTAATGTGTACAGAACTCATAGAAAAGCCATGGTAGTACTGGACCTTAATGTTCCATCAGATAAGGCAAAAACGGAAAGAGAGGACATGGAAAAACCTATCCCCAAATACATTTAACCTGTGTGGGTTATCTTGCTGGTATTGGTAAGCAGAAAGTGGCATCCCACCACATCCAAGTATGCAGTAAGATACTGCACAGCATTTTTCAAAAACATTGTTGGCATTCACTAAAAAACGCTGCTAATGTAGCGTGTCATCAGCTGTCAGCAGGTTGTCCTCTGACAGCTAAATGTACAAAAAAAAAAGAACTGCTGGCAATTCAAAATTAAGGAAAAAAAAAAACGGGTGTGTGCCCCCCCCCCCTCCAAAATCCATACCAGACCCTTATCCACGAGAGGAGGAGAATGAGCGAGCACCCCCCTCCTGAACCATGCCAGGTTACATGTCGTCAACATGGGGGGTGCTTTGGGGCAGGCTTAAATGCTCATTTAGGTCTTGGGAGCCAACAAAAACAGTTTTATTTACTCGATCCTCCACTGTCATGGGTTCCTCCAGCCTATAAGGCTAGTCACTGAAGCCTCTTCTCCCATATACTCTAGCAGTCAGATCCTCTCTGACATCACCAAGACTAATGAAGAGCCCATAGCCCTGCTTTGGTCTGTGACGATGCTGAGGAACAGTTCACTACAGAATTTAGGAGGATCAGGAAAGTAAAAAGTAATTTTAGCGCTCTTCTATACTGAAAGCTTGCAGTGCTGGGGCAACCCCTTTAAAAGGGAACATTTTGTCTCCCGGCAATGGGCTTTTAGTCATGGATAAGTCTCTAGGTGCAGCCCACAAAGTCTGATACTTACCTAACCCCCTTTTTTGAATGTATCTTCACTGTTCGTCCCTGCCCAAAGCCATAAAGTGCCCTCGCTGGCTCCTCTTCATCCTGCATGCATACATTGGCCCTATTCAGTGCTATGGGGAGAACTGCACTCTGCAGGATGGCAGGGAACTTCCATGTACAGCTATAGGAGTGACTAGGCCTGGGATAAACATGCTTAGCATTTAGAAATTTGTTTGCATTGGTATTTGTCCCCTGCAATGTTCAGTTACCCATGCCCTTCTATTATCGAAAGCTTGCAAATTGGCTTTGAAAAAGGCCGAACAAAAATTAAAAGAATCAGCTCCCATTGACTTCAATGGAGTTTGGGAGCTATGTTTGGATTTTCCCTGGGCTTGACGAAAGTCCAGTGAACCGAACTTGGTTCAGTTCACTCATCACTACTGCTGGCCAATTTTACATTGCTGGATCGTCTGCGGTTTCCTAATTCTTAATGAGCGTTTGAACTACTGGCCACTTTCTATCTTTCACTTAAAGTGGTTGTAAACCTGCAGTGCATACCATACAAAACAAAGGCACCATAGTAATGTGTCCACATATCCAAATTAAATCAATGTAGTTTTACCTGAAAATTATTTTGCTCTGTGCCTGTATGAGCCCAGTGAATATATGAAATTGGTAGGCGTGTCTGAATGCCTAGGCATGGGAGGTGGAGAGGTGATCTCACAGGACTCCCCTCCCATCTCTAAACTTCCCCCTGGCAAGCATACTAGCGTGGCTGAGCATCGCGCACGGCAGTTCTCACTGTGCATGCACATCACACGCAGAGGATGGATGACATCTCCTGGATGACAGCAAGACGGCATGAACCCACGTTGGCTTGGCATGCCCCCTCATGAGCAGCATCCAATCGGAAATCAAGGAAGGCACCACATCACTAGCATGGCCAATAATGTTGAGGCGCGGAGCAGCCAATCGTGGCAGAGCTAAAGTTGTAGGGGGGGGCTATCTGTTGCTGGAATGCTGGAAACAATCCCCCTTCTCTAATGGCTGTGCATGAGAGATATACATAATATGTCAGTCAGAGCAGTGGGGGTGTGGCGACACCAATTTTTGTCATGTGTCAGTTTTTATCACTGCTAGAAAGTGGAGAGGATTTCTCAATGATGGATTTACACTTCTTTACAAGACTGGGCACAGATGACTTTACTTTACCAGGTAAACTGCTTAGTTCACTCTTTTTTTTTTCAGGTTTACAACCACTTTAAAATGGGTCTATTACCACTTGATGAATAAGCATGTGTTGCTGCTGAAAAAAGTCTTCTTGTCAAAGTGAAATAAATCAGATTGGGGTGTTACTACTGCATGTTAGCCAAGCTAATTGTAAAAGAAAAAAAATAATTTCACAGGTTACATATGGGACCCGAGATCACTAGCAGCCATTTGTAAAAGCAAATAGTCCTTTATTATTTCCTCCATACAGGTAATATAAATAACTTTCCTCAGCACAAACTTACATAAAGAGTTCCATCAAAACAGCATACCATACAACAGACTCACCTCCAAACTCTTGGTCCCTTCCAGACTGGGGTAGGGTTCCTCTACAGGGCAGGCCGCAGGAAATCCAGTAACAAGTGTCTCAGCTTGTCTGAGAGCTCACGCTTTACTCACAGCTTTAGCCTCTCTTTCTCCACTCTGCTTCCTTGACACAGGGGCTGATTTTCCTCTGCTGCCTTTCAAGCCTTCCCTGCCTAGGGTTTAACCCCTTCGGGACCAGAGTTCTGGTAGTCAAGGTTTGAAGGTTCTTCCCACCCAAATCTCTTCGAACCTTTGAAATTCCAGGTCCCTAATAAGAATTTATCAATTAAGAGAGAGCTGACAATCAGTCCTCTCTTTCAACCGGGTCACCCCGGAACCCCTCACTCTGCATGGGTGAAAACCCCTAAGTATCTAAATATGCAGGCCAGTCTTTAAACTGCCCCCCTTAAAGGGACCACAACTCAAATACTGGTGCAATATACCTGCCGTCCAGGACACACTTCTGGTGTCCTGTACACAGGGAAATATGCAATGCCAGTCTATGCTGTCCTAGAAACTGGAAGTGATAATTTTACTGTTCCGTTACACCACTTAAAGCTTTAATGCACCATCCGCCATGTTGTTTAAAAGATTTTCGAAGCTGCATGAAAAGACTGGCTGGACCCAGGAGCAGATTCGGCCATCTCTACAGGTGCTTTACTCAGGAGGTGGGGTCATGACTTAAATTATTACAAGGCAAAACTTGTATTTTTGTTTTTGATTTGAGTTTGAACACCTGTCAGGTTTTTTTTTGTTGCCTGTATCCCTGCTAGAGGGATCCAACCTCTCTAGTTATCCTGTTTACCATTATCACCGAAAGCCTAGCTGTTACTCATTTGGAACATAGTCCTGCTGTCCCTCTTTCCTTCTCATGTGGCACTAGTTCTGGTGACCCTGATGACAGCCAGGGATTTTCTCACTTTGCAGGGATTGCCTCTCACTTCCTGTTTTGGTTATGGGACAGGAAGTTAAGGGAATCCTCCCGACTGGGACACAGATGACAAAAAACCCTAAAATGTGTATAAAGTCAATGCTGAAAAAAAATGTGATAAACAAACAAATAAACAAGTAGCTGCTTGCAGTATAAGTAGATATACCAACATTACTAAAAAGTCACATAATAAAAAAACACAGCGCTACAGTACATAAAGAAAATATACACAAATGACTTCATGCATTAACCAGTGAACAACAAAAAGTCCAATATGTGCATAAGTGTCCAATCTTCAACAAATATGATGTCATGATGACAAAAAAACAGTGTTCAAATAATAAAGTGTCCACCATGTGATCTGTAAGCTCTTGGTGATATTGCCTCCACCTCTAGCTAAAGTGCAAACTCACTGGAACAATTTGCTGTCTATGATTAGAACAGCAATCTGCGCTTATAACATGGTAGCTCTCTCTCTTTCCAAAGATCCAAGATGTATTCCTCCATGTGACCAGGAATCAACATTCGTTTTCACCTTAAGCTCTCTTGGGATCACACGCACTCCCACCAGCAAGGATTCACCAATAGACCAAAAACTCCTCATAGTGTAGCATTTAATATAAACAACAATGGGTGCAACATCGCAGTTAAAAATAAGCAAATACAATGCCGCTGTATAAAATGTACAGAGAATGCTGCCAGACCAACAAGGAATGGAGGAGCGACCTCTGGCAATACACCTCACCGCACGCCGTTCTGCATGACCGCACGTCTTCAGGTCATATGCTATAAGCAGTTGCACAATATGCTGAATATAGTGTTACCTGTTAAAGATAATAAAATAAATTATTCAGAATAAAGTGTTACATGATAATCAAATGCGGAATAGTAAACAATCCCAGGAAATGATGTATATATTATTTTTTAATGCTATGCCATCATATTTCCTGTAACTGATTATCATGTATGGGCCACTTACAGGTGTCACTGCAGGGATTAACGGGATACCTAGCATAGTCCCTCCACTGTCTACTGCAGTGCTTATTAAACACTTGCCCTCCAGAGGATTTACCCCCCTTCCTGACCAGGCCATTTTTTGCGATACGGCGCTGCATTACTTTAACGGACAATTGCACAGTCGTGCAACGCTGTACATAAATGCAATTTATGGCCTTTTTTTCCCACAAATAGAGCTTTCTTTCCGTAGTATTTGATCACCTGTGCGTTTTTTTTTTTTTGTTTTTTTTCGCTATAAACAAAAAAAGACCCAACAATTTTGAAAAAAAAAAATGATATTTTTTACTTTTTGCTAAAAAAAATTTAAAAAATCTAATTTGGTCTTAAATTTAGGTCAAAATGTATTCTGCTACATGTCTTTGCTAAAAAAAAGTCCCAATACATGTAAATTAATTGGTTTAAGTGAAAGTTATAGCGTCTACAAATGGCAGTATATACACTGGAATTTTTTTTTATACTAGTAATGGCGGCAATCAGCAACTTATAGAGGGACTGCGGCAGGCATTTTGACATTGGGGGGGAACTGACTAACTGCCACTGACATCCCCAGGGACACTAATACTGTGATCAGTGCTAATAAAAAGCATTGACACTGTACTAATGGCATTGGGCAGGAAGGGGTTAACATCTGGGGTGAACAAAGGGTTAACAGTGTGCTGTGTGCGTTTTACATTATGTGCTATGTTGTGTTTTACTTGGGAGGCTTGCTGCTTTGTATCTTTCTGCTGTGCAGAGAGATGCAAAGCAGCATGTCCATGCTGACAGGAGAGAGAGCTGTGTTGTTTACACACAGATCTCTCCCCTCTCAGCCATGCCGACGATCACCAAGTCAGTGACTTATTGAGGGACTGCGGCAGGCATTCTGACATTGGGGGGAACTGACTAACTGCCACTGACATCCACAATGACACTAATACAGTGATCAATGTTAATAAAAAAGCACTGACACTGTACTAATGACACTGGGCAGGAAGGAGTTAACATCTGGGGCAATCAAAGGGTTAACTGTGTGCTGTGTGTGTTTTACTTGGGAAACATGCTGCTGTATATTTCTCTGCTGTGCAGAGAAATACACAGCAGCGTGTTCTTGCTGGCAGGAGAGAGACCTGTGTTGTTTACACACAGGTCTCTCCCCTGTTAGTGTTACTCGGTGATCACTGGGTGCTAGCAGGGAATCTCCAGCCGGGACCCGGTGATTGACATCTGTAGCCACCAATGGCCAATCTGCAGCCGCAAACGCATGCGTCCCCTACACAGTAATGCAAATCACGTGTGTGTATATATATATATATATATATGTATATGTGATTTTGCACAGCCCCCGCCACCCTGTAGCAGTAGTTCTACTATAAGGCAGCAAGGAAGCGGTTAAAGACCTTGTACTAAAGTCTAACACTGAAGTTGAGGAGCTGAGGCAACACCATCACTCCAAGCTGAATATGGAAAAACAGAAGTTAATTCTGTGCTCCAGACTCTTAGGTTAACACAGCTAAAAAAGCAATATTTCTGACTAAGCAGAGGTGTGTAAGTTGCTTACCTCTATACAGAGTTGTACAGAGAAGAACCTTCATGGATTGGCTTTGATTCAGCACTGTAAGAATTTCTCTAGGGTAACTTCTATTTAAAGCTGAAATGGCAATGACCAGAAATGATAAAAATACTGCAATAATCTACTTTAATCTTGAGCTGTTCTCCACAATACCTATTCTCTTCCACAAGATGCCATCATGCTGAACTGAACTTACAGTACTCTTGGGCAACAGGGCACCTAAACATCATTATATTGCCATTGCAGAGTCCAGGAGTAATCACAGCTCCCCTACCATTACTGAGAATGTAGTTCAAGAACCTGCAACATAACCAGATCAGCCATAAGACTGCATCAAAATGTATGCATAATGGTATTTTTTTTGTGTTTTTTTAACTTGGAGACTTCAGAGAGGGAGTGTGGAGGGAGGGAAAAGGTGGAGTTGGGCTTTAAAAAGAGCATAAAGAAAGTTTAGTATTGTAAACACCCAACTAAAATGAATTCTGAGTGGTGTCAAAACTCATTATTTGCAATACTGCTCATTTTACTAATTAGGTTCTTATTTACATCACTGTGAAAGTGGTGTAAAAATATAAACCAATTCATTAAATCTCTGAATAAGCCTTTTATTCATTAAAAACAATTTAGAGGGTTATAATTTGTTAAAATGTTTAGCAAATGGTAAAGCTTGTAAATAGTTTGAAATTTGATGGACCAGACAAAGTGGTCACATTTTGTCAAAACAATCCACTCACTTCATTATTGTGATCTGTAATTTTAATTGTTATTTTTTGTAGAACAATAACTATAGGTAATATTACTTGGCATAATTTAGTTTGCTTAGCTTATTGCGCACATTGCTGTGTTGGACGCAATTCATGAAATTTACGTCTGTACAAAAATAACTAGTTTGTCCTCTGTTTATATGTGTATACTTAAGCTTAGGTACACATCCTAACATTTGCATTGGTAACAGTTTAGAGCACAGCCTGGTTCGTTTGCTTATGACGTCTGCATTCTACAGTGGTTTTAGTCTATAGTGCCAGGTTATGACTGCCAGCTAAAGTGTTCAGATGCCACGTGACAGCACTGCATGGCGTAGTCTGAGGTTTATAACCACTGTATGTCTGTCTGGAACTGTGTAGACGCTGTACATCTTCCAGGACCATCTGTGTTAAGTAAATACGATTATTATAACTGAGGTTCAGAAATTATCAAATCAACTCACCCAAAGTGAGATTGGACCTGAATCAAGGAAGATTCAGTAGAAGCAGACATTCAATAAATTGTAATAATTTTTATTCAAACTCAAACAACTCAATTAATTTAAATAGACTTCCTCAAAGTTCTTCATTTGCATTCCTAGTTGAAATTCTTTGCAGTAGCCGATGGAAAAAGTTCATGGAAACAGTCAAACTCCCTTTTTTTTTTAAAAAAGCCTTGTAGAGTGCATCAGTTTCCCCTTTCAGTCAGCAGTGCTAGGATTAACAGTTCTGCTTCTTTTTTACTGTGCCACGTCAAAAACACTGCAATACAAGCATGTAAAGGGGTTCCATATCTTTGATGAACATGTTGTCACTGATACGTTTCTCTACTTCTAGTACCATGCACTTAGAAACAATACGTAGTACTCAGAGCCAAGCAGCTTCCTTCAGACACTCCGAACCTAAGCTCTTCTAGGTCAACCTTGCTGGCACAGGGATTACCTTCTTTTCTTCCAAACCTCAGCTTCCAGAGAGACTCGGCATGCACAGAAATGGACTGTCCCAAGTCACCCACAGCCTTCCAGCACCCTCAAGGCTCTTAGGAAGAGCTCGAGGCCAATCTCTAAGAGCTCTTCCTGGACCAAATCTCTTAGAACATACCATCACTTTTCAGCAGAATATACTAGATGTGTTTTAGTTTATTTGACCTCGCTCTAATAAGTAGGAGTTACAAGTAAGAATTCTCAAAAACATTTCTGTAGGAATCTCTATAAACAATTACTCTTTCAGAGAAAAGGGGTGCTACTGGCTCTTTCATAATCAATATACTCCAAACTTGGAGAAATGCGTCACTCCTTTCCCCCATGCCTCCAGTCAGGGATTGCTCACGGCCGCCTCCCCTGCCTCCCCTGCAATGATGCTGAAGTCTCAAAACACATTTGCTTGGTGTGTGTAGAAGAGTTCCTTCTCAGCATAATCCTCCCACTGGGCAACCACACTATCTTCTCCTACACTACAATACTTGTCCCATTCCTGATGTGCAAAGTGACAAAAGCACTCCCATGGTACTATAACCAGGGAGAAATCCTTATGGAATTTTTAGGTTGCATGGACAAGATGAGCTACTCTTGTCGTTATCATCATCATGATTTTTCATGTTGTCAGTAGCTGTACAGGGGTTTGTTGGAATGATCAATTCCTCCCTCACACATGTACACATGCATTCATCACAGGCAGTGAGAGTGTCAGCAATCTGAAATACTATATGTGTATGAGGGATGAAATACTATATATTTGTAAATTTTAGAAGATTTTCATTAGTGGACACAGGGTTTTAAATGAACAGCAAAAAACAAATGAAAATAAATTAATTCATAAATGCAATTCGCTTCACTGTGGCTTCACTGTGGCTTTACTGTGGCATCCCTGGATACGTTGGTAGGTGCGTTATCAGACACGAATTCCTACCAGATAGAATTTATTTTGTCTTAAGTAACGTAGCACCTCAAATTTCTATTCTTCTATACTGTATTTACGATTAGTTAAATACATATAGCCTAGGGAACTGTAATCCTGGACAGTTGGTACTTCTTAATTTATTGCATGTACACTGCTCAAAAAAAATTTAAAGGAACACTTTAAATTTAAAGGTTAAATTAAACTCCTGGGATATTGATCTTGTTAGTTAAGTAGCAGAGGGGTCTGTTAATCAGTTTCAGTTGCTTTGGTGTTAACAAAATTAATATCAGGTGCACTAGATGTGCAACAATGAGACAAAACTCAAAACAGGAATGGTTTTACAGGTGGAGGCCACTGACATTATTTTCTCTACTCATCTTTTTTGACTGCTTTTCACTAGTTTTGCGTTTGGCTAGAGTCAATGTCACTACAGGTAGCATGAGGCGATACCTGGACCCTACAGAGGTTGCACAGGCAGTCCAACTTCTCCAGGATAGCACATCAATACGTGTTATTGCCAGAAAGTTTTCTGTGTCTCCTAGCACAGTCTCAAGAGCATGAAGGAAATTCCAGGAGATAGGCAGTTACTCTAGGAGAGCTAGACAGGACCATAGAAGGTCCTTAACCCATCAGCAAGATCAGTATCTGCTTCTTTGTGCAAGGAGGAACAGGATGAACACTGCCAGAGCCCTACAAAATGACCTCCAGCAGGCCACTGGTATGAATGTCTCTGACCAAACAATCAGAAACAGACTCCATGAGGGTGGCCTGAGGGCCTGACGTCCTCTAGTGGGCCCTGTGCACAATGCCCAGCACCATAGAGCTTGATTGGCAATTTCCATTGAACACCAGAATTGGCAGGTCCGTCATTGGTGCCCTGTGCTTTTCACATATGAGAGCATATTCACCCTGAACACATGTGACACACGTGACAGGGTCTGGAGAAGCCGCGGAGAACGTTACACTGCCTGTAACATTGTTCAGCATGACCGTTTTGGTGGTGGTGTCAGGGATCTCCTCGATCCCTGCCGCGATGGGTCCCAGCGCAGGCGCAGTGCACCGCCCTGTGCAGGGACACGGGCACTAGGTCCGGGCTGGCCGCGGCGTTCGAGTTCGCGCATGCGCAGTAGAAAGCTGCGGCCGCCCGCTGGGCACCAATGGCAGCGCAGGGCGGGATATTTAAATGGCCCTGAGCTGTCATTCAGTGCCTTCTGGTCTTCCCTGCATCCTGTGAACCTGTGAACCTGTACCCTTTGTAAGTTTTGACCCGGATTATACCTGACCTTGCTGCTTTCTCCTGTTCTGACCCTTGCTTTGCCTGACCTCTCTCCTGAATGCCCCTGATTGGATTTGACCTGCTGTTGCTGACCTGGCGTGTGACCCGACCATTCTATGCCCGCTGCCTTGTACCTTGCCGTCCTCTCTGTTACCGACCCGGCCCATCTGACCTTGCTCATCCATCCATCCATCCCTTGCAGTGGGGTCTTCTGACCTCCTCACATCAGACTCTTCCCCGTGGGAGCCCTTGGCGCATACTACTACCACTGACGGACGCACCCAGTAGTCACGACCTGGTCTCGGGGAGCTCCAAGTCCATCCCCACCATCAGGGGCCCTGGTGAACAAGCACCCTGGGACTTAGATTCCGTGCGCTGGGGACGCCTATTCAGTGGAGTGCTAGTGGTACCACCAGGCGGTCCCTTACAGGTGGGTAAGTGATGGTCTGGGGAGGCATATCCATGGAGAGACGCACAGACCTCTACAGGCTAGACAATGGCACCCTGACTGCCATTAAGTATTGGGTCCTGGGTTCCTCCTGGTGCATGACAATGCCCGGCATCATGTGGCAAGAGTATGCAGGCAGTTCCTGGAGGATGAAGGAATTGATACCATTGAATGGCCCCCACGCTTGCCTGACCTAAATCCAATAGAACATCTCTGGGGACATCATATTTCAATCCATCTGACGCTGCCAGGTTGCACCTCA